AGTGGGAGGGAGAGAGAGGAAGAGAGAGAGAGAAACATCAATGTGAAAGGGACACATCAAGTGGCTGCCACCCACACGACCAACCAGGGCCAGGGACAAACTGCAACCGAGGTACATGCCCTTAGCGGGAGCCGAACCCGGGTCTCTCTGGACCGCAGACTGACGCTCTAACCGCTGAACCAAACCGGCCAGGGCTGGGTCTCACAGTCTCATCCCTACCGTCATATTCTTAACAACTGTCCTGCTAACATAGCACCTTAAAATCCTTTTTAGGGTATATCATATTTTGAGAAAGTGGCCAGGTACTCCTTGCCCCCCATTAGTTAGTGAATGAGTGACCTACTGCCATACACACATTTTTCTCTGTCCCCCAATCCCACTCTTGATGTCCTGGGCCCCTGCCTGATTGGCAAGGACATCAGACAGCAACCACAGCTTGAGCCTGAGTAGTGGTGGCATTTCAGCCCGGGTGAGGCTGCTGGGGAGAGTGGGCCGCAGGGAAGGTCTGCCCTGCACCTCAGACCGCAGCAGGCCGGCCATCCCGTCTGACCGCCAGGCCTGCGGAGACCACCGTGAGGGGATTTCCTAAGCTCTGGGTCCTTACGGGTGTTGGGTCAGAAGGAAGCTGTAATGAGGAGACGATTTTGACCTGTACTGGGACAGAGGGCAGAAAACCTTTTCAGACAAATTTCCAAGCATAACAACTTGGATGAAGTGATCTGTCAAGAGCTGGTGCCACTGAGGAAACCCTGCCTGAGACTCTTTGAGTCACAGCATGCTTGTCAGTTTGACAAAAGAAAGAATTTAAAAAAAATTTTTTCTATCACTTATTACGTGGCACTTATTGTATGCCAGGCACCATTCTAAGTGTTTATGTGCACTGACTTATTTATATTCCCCACGACTCTGTGAGGTCGCCGCTGTCTCCTTGTACAGATGTGGAGGCTGAGGCTCGGAGAGGTGCAGGGGCTTACCCAGGCCACTTAGCCATAAGCAGAAGAGAGGGGCTTTGAGCCCAGGCAGCCTCCCTTTGGAGCCTGTATCTTAACCACAAGTTATGTTGCCTTAAGGAGCCCATGTGTTGCGCCCTAACCTCATTAGGGGATCTGGCTTTTTTCAGCCCAAAGGAGGGCTCTTTGTCAATTCTTTGCCTGAGCAGAAGGGCTGATGCCACGAACCATCCAACTTTTTTTGGAAAGATTGCTGCTTCTAAGAATCGTCTATTTAGAAAATTGTTTCAGGGTTGACACTTCTGTCCTCAAACCAGTTTCTTTTTCTCTGTGTTCCTGCATTGTGTATATAATAATTATATATACTTGCTATATATACACATGTGTATATATCAAGAAACAGAAATGTATGTTGACATTTCTAATTCAGAATATTTTGACTGATGGGTATGTAAAAAGGTAATAATAGGTTGTGGAATTAAACCGTAAACACAGGAAACTAACTCAAGAAAAATAATCCCTATAAACACAACTACTGGTACTTAAATAAATAAAAGAGAAGGGTAAACACAAGGCATATGACTTAGTTGGGCGGCTGTTTGCTGTTGCCAGATGTTGAGCTATGGACTGACTTATTGATGCACAGGCCAGTGTTAGTATCTCTGTCTCCATCTGCCCCTCTCTGAAAGCCTATTGGCCTTGGCAGTTTGGGGAAATCAGGGAGTGGTGTGGTAACACCCACGGAAGAAAACTCGTGGATATGAAAGAATCTAATTGGCTCCCTGAGCTACGGAGGGGTTGGGTTACACATGAATCCATAGGCTCTCACCTGCTGTCCTGACCAACACTGGGCATTTGTCCCTTCAGTCTCTGTAAATGGTGTGTTTTAAGCACATCAGGGCTGGCTTCATGGACAGTGGGACCCTAGGAGGGCCCTGTCCTTGATTTAATATTCAACTCTGGCCATCTTGAAATTCTTGATAATTTTTGAACAAGAAACCCCACATATTCATTTTATACTGGGTCCCACAAATTATGCAGCCAGTTCTGAAACAGAATCCTGGCCCCCTGCCATGCGATTGTGGGCTGCTCCTCTCTGGGCCCTACTCTCCGCATCTGTGAAATGGGGACAGAAGGGGAAATACTTCCAATCTTTGGCTTTTTATGCTCTAGAATCTAGAATCAGTGATCTAATTAGAGATATTTGGAGCTGCATAACTTCTCCAGTTTGTTTTCAACCGGAAAATAAATGGAATCCAAGTGTTCTTCGGTTTTTCAGAGCATCTCCGTCCTCTCTGACATGTGGGATGTGCACTGCTAGCCCAGCCACTGAGGCAAGACAGGCAAGAATGAGGGATGCGCCATCTGACAGACGAAGCCAGGCCCAGGCTGGTTTCCTCATCTGTATGTTGGCAGTAATCCTGACAACAGTTATCACGAAGAGGAAATGATACTATGTACATGAAGTCTGGGAAATGTGCCCAATAAAAGGCAGCTGTTTTATTAACAAAATGCAAGGAAGTGTTTGTCACCTAGCCTGTGCCGCGATGGCAAACTGTCTGAGTTGTTTCGCCATCTCTAAAACTCAGCTGCCCGTGTGCACTGAAGGCCTAGTACACGTCAGGCACACGGAGCAAAGACCCAGTGATTACTGATCTGCAGTTCTCAATTTTAAACTTTCATGAAGTTGTCCAGTTTGGAGTCAGTTGTCAAAATATGAGTCTATTCTGGCTGGTGTGGCTCAGTGGTTGAGCGTCGACCCATGCACCAGAAAGTCACCAGTTCGATTCCCAGTCAGGGTACACGCCCAGGTTGTAGGCCCGATCCCCAGGGGCTGGCATGCAGGAGGCAGCCAATTGATGTTCTCGCTCATCGATGTTTCTATCTCTCTCCCTCTCACTTACTCTCTCTGTAAAAATCAATAAAGAAAAGAAAAATGTTTTTTAAATGAGTCTAAGACTACACGGTTCTGTGATGTAATTTATGATCTTATGGTTGAATGAGGAAGTTCCAGAACAGGCACTTATGGAGTGTCTATTTTGTGCCAGGCACTGTGCTCCATTCTTTTTGTTGTTGTTGTTGTTAATCCTCACCCGAGGATTTTTCATTGATTTTTAGATAGAGTGGAGGGAAGGAGAGAAACATTGATGTGAGAGAGATACATCAATTGGTTGCCTCCCACAGGGGGATCAAATCTGCAACCCAGGTATGTGCCCTTGACTGGGAATCAAACCCTCCACTGCTGAGCCGAACCTTCCAGGGCTGTACTGGATTCTTTACAAATGTTACTTTGTTTACTCTTTATATAGTTCTGTGCAAGGAGACATTTTCATCCCCAATTTCCAGGCCCAGATAGGTAAAGTGACTTGGCCAAAGTCACACAACTGGTTTGTGATGGACCCAGGATGCTAACTCTTTTCTGTGAACTCCAAAACAAAACCTTTGCACTTCTTTCTATAATTCTGTAAGATGTTCATGGCCTGGCTCTTGGCCCCAGGATTCCGGGAGGGCGGCGTATGGCAGGATGAAAGCCGTCTGGCTAGGGGAAGGTGAGGCTGGCTGCACAAACTGCGCAGGTCCACTTTGGCCTTGCTCTGACTCGGCGCGCGCTACCACGAGGTGGCGCTGCGGGCTGAGAGCCTCCGGAGGGGCCTCAGGGATGCTGGATTCTCTGACCCGCTTCTGCTCTCCCTAAGTCAGGCGGGAGGCCAGGGCTGCGGCTGCCCAGTAATGACCTCACAGGAAAGAGGAACCTGCAGTGTGATGGCGTCCGCACCCACCCTCTCACTACAGCTGTCTCAGGGTGGTGACCGGCCTCAGAGCTCCCTCTTCTCCTGCAGGAGCTCCAGCCTCCCCTCCCCTGCCTTCAACAGTTTTGTCCCTATTTTTAAGACTCCAGTGTTCCATGCCCCTCCCCCCCAAGGGCTCCTTCCAGTAGGGCTTTGGAAGGGCCCAGACCCATTGGGTGAAAGCCCCAGGGATCTTCCCCCCACCCCTGCATTTGAAGTCTCTCTAACCCCGGGGTATGCGGAAGGGGTGGAGAACCAACTGGAAGACTCTAAGGGCTGGGGTCTCACTCTGGCAACACCTCCTCCCATGCCTAGGCACCTTTTCATATTGACCATGGTGCCAGCCTTGGGCTCCTGGGTGTGTGTGTGGGTGGGTGCTGAGTGACAAGATGGGCAAGCTCCCCTCCCATACCCGTGGCCTGAATGTTCTGGGTTCTGTGCCACTGCTCACCTATGATGCCTCCCAAGTGCCAGCACCTTCTTTCCAAGCCTGCTTGTCCTCAGCTGGGTGAAGAGCCTCCTCCGGGAAGTCTTCCTAATCCTACCACAGGGCTCTTAAAGCTCCCTGTGCTATTTAGTCAGGTGTCCTCTCTGTGCCTCCACCCCCACCCCCACACACTAGGGAACCAGGAACAGAGTCCCTTCGGGCAGAGATGGGGGTGGACCTATGGTGGGTGATGCCGATGTTGGATATTCTGCAGACCCTGGCCAGTTAGAAAGAACTGGCTGACAGTAGAGCCACTCAGATGAGCTGGAAATGAGCTCCCCGCCACTGGAAGTGTACAGAGGAGTCAGGCTGCCAGTGCTGAAATGCCAGGAAGGAACAAAGTACTGCTGGGGCTCAGAGGAGGGAGGTGGAGAGGGACCTCGGGGAAAGCTTCTGAAGGAGGAGGCAGGATTCGGGTCTATTAGGATGGGAAGGAGTCGAGAGTCGGGGTGAGGGCAAGGTCCCAGAGTAACAGCTTGAGCAGAGGCAGAGGCATGCACGTTCACGGAACTGGGCAGCAGGGAGAGGAGAGATAAGCAAGGTGGACAGGGTGTAAGCTGATGTGTAAGGTGCAACCTACCCTGAAGTAATCCCCCATATCACCTCACTCCCCCATCCTGGGAGGTTAGTGGGATTTTCAGGGAGAAAACACAGCCCAGAGAAGGGCTGGTCCTGATTCATCCTTGTGGCCCCAGGGCCCAGCGCAGGGAATGTGAGTGGACACAGGTCGAGTGATGGAAAGAGGGACTTTGTAGAATGTTTATTAAACCAAGGACCAGTTAAGGTGTTGGGTGGGGCTGGTGGGGGAGGGCAGAGCTCTCCTTGTCCAGCGGGCATCTTTGTGGGACCAGCCCCCTGATGCCCACATGGCCATTGACGGCTGCCTTCCACCCCAAACCTCCTTCCCTAATATATCCCCAGGACGCAGTATTACAAAAATTAACAAATGCAACTTTCTTTTACAAATGACACTTTCCATGCCCTGCCAGCAGGGGTGGTGGCGGGAAGCTGGTTAAAAGTGACAGTTCATTAAAAAGGCAACAACTTGTATGAAATGAACACTAAGGAAAGAGCCCAGGGCTGAGAAACTGAGATGCCACCCTGATGGGGGAACATAAAACTGGGTGGGGACTGCCTGCCTCCTTCCGCTGCATCCGCAATAGGGTGATACTGGCTGTGGGCTCTGGAGTAGCAGGGGCTGAACCTGGGAGGCCCCTCCTGCTTGTGGCCAGGTCAACAACTTGGGGGAGCATCTAGAAGCAGTGCCTCAAGGATCAACGGGTACACGTCCAGTCTTGATGCTGGGGGACCCCACCCCAGAGTGGGAAAGTGGCAGGGCTGGGACTGGCATGCCCGAAGCTTCCAGTGGCTGGGAGGTGAAGTGACAGCCCATGCAACACAGCTGGTCAGTGGGCCCAGAGTCCCACCTCCGAGGCCCTTGCCTGTCTTCCTCGGGATGACAGGAAAAGGACCCAAATGGTAGGATGTGAGTCTTGGAAGCAAAGGGGAACTGGGGAAGGGGAGAGGGAGGGCATGATTTAGAAGACAGCAAAGTGCAAAGGGGCCCGCTGGGAGGCAGGACGCAGGGTCCAGTCATGCCTCTGCCACTGCAGTACCTCGGCTGAGCCATGTTCCTTCCCCAGGCCACAGCTCTCCCATCTGTCACATGAGGAGGCGACTTGACTCCCCCCCCAGTCCTTTCTATAACTAAAGTTCTACCCAGGGCTCTAGGGGAAGAGAAAAGGATAAGGTGGGCCTCATGTGCCCAGAGTAAAAGAAATCCATGCCCCTGAGTGACTGGACCATGGGCCCCAGGGGGCACTCAGCCCTGGCCTGACCTCTGACTTTCCTTCTGTCACAGTCAGGTTGGCCCAGCCCTGAGGGAAGGCACTTTGGGGTCAAGTTGGGAAGGACAGCAGGGGACTGCTGTCTGGTTTGGCATTGAAGACCATTTGCTTACAGTTTGGGGGCAATATAGACAAAGGGGCAAGACTTTGCTCCTAGGTGTTGTCCCAGGTCCAAAGCCTCTTCCCAGGTCCCCAGCTGTTTTTCAATGATGCTGCCACATAGGCTGGTAGAGTCCCCACTGGCATTGGCACATTAAAATATCAATTACCCAGGACCTAAGTCAGCCCAGGGCAGCAGTCTCTTGTGTGGCCCCAGGCCACACCATTTGTCACAAGGTGTTGGGGCCCCTGGATGCCTGTTCCCTAGTGTCTATGCAGTGCAGGGCCACCTTGGGGCTGGAGCCAGGCTGCCGGGGGTAGGCACCCTCGCGCACCACGCGCCGGCACTGCACACCCTGGCCCGCGCTGACGCTCTGCAGCGCTGGGAGGCGGAGGAGCAGCATCTCAGGCAGGGGCACCAGGCTTGTGCCCGACAGGTCCAGCTCCTGCAGGGAGCCCAGGCCTGAGAACACCTCAGGTCCTGCCCACTTGAGCTTGGGGTTGCCCGATAGGTCCAGGACCTGCAGGCTGTGCAGCTCATGGAAACCATAGGGCGCCAGTTGGGGGACACCCTGCAGGCTGCCCAGAGAAAGGTGTGTCAAGCCAGCCAGTCCCGTGAAGGCACCTGGGCCAATGGCCGCTAGCGGGTTCCCATCCAGGCTCAGGTAGCGCAGGGGCAAGTCCCGGAGGTCAGGCACAGTTCGGAGCCGGTTCCAGGCCAGGTTCAGGCTCTGAATGGTAGGTGTGGGCAGGCTGGCCCCAGCGGGGTGGGGCACGAGGCGGTGGAGGAGGTTGTGGGAGAGGTCCACGTGCAGCGCCCTGCCTTGGCTGTGGGTAGTGAAGGCGGATACTGGGACCTCACGGAGCCGGTTGTGGCTGAGGTTCACGTCACTCAGGGGCGAGCTAGTGAAGCTGTCCACAGGCAGGGCTGCCAGGCCATTATGGCTGAGGTCAAGCGACTCCAGGTAGCGAAGGCGGGAGAAGGCGGTGGGCGAGATGCTGGTGAGCAGGTTGTGGCTGAGATCCAGGCCGGCCAGTGTAGTATAGCCTGGCCCTGCCAACACCGACTCATTCACGGTCTGCAGCCGGTTGGAGGACAGGTCCAGGTAGGCTGTGTCCAGAGGGATGGGCACGGGCACAATGTGGGGGCCCAGTCCGCTGCAGTCCACTCGTGTCAGGCTGAAGCTATCAAAGAGGCCGAAGGTCTCCACCTCACACTGGCACCCGGGGAAGCATGGCCGGGTCGTCTGGACGCAGCTCACGGCCAGCAACAGCAGCAGGGGCAGCAGCAGGGACCACAGCATGGTGGGGGCTGGAAAGAGAGTCACAGGTGAGGGCTGACAGCAGGCACCCCTTACCAGATGGTTTTACCCCACCCCATAAGACACCAACCAATGTGTCTAGGCACAGTCGAAATTGTCACCAGCACCCTGTCCTCCCAGGATGTGTTCCCTGAATACTCCTCCTTCTATAATTCCTCTTTCCTGTTCCTCTCAGGCTTCAGTCTCCCCATCTGTATGGTAAAGGGGGTTAGGCCAGGTTAGTGGATTTTATTTTATAAAAAAAAATTTTTTTTCTGTATTGATTTTGAGAGAGAGAGGAAGGGAGAAGGAGATAGAAATAGAAACATCAATGAGAGAGAACATCGATTGGCCGCCTCCTGCGTGCCCCCCACTGGGGATTGGGCCCACAACCTGGGCATGTGCCCTGACCGGGAATCAAACCTGGACCTCTTGGTGCGGGGGTCGACGCTCAGCCACTGAGCCACACTGGCCAGGCAGGTTGGTGGGTTTTACACTGGAAGCAGCAGAACCCTTTCTTAAATAACAGATGGAAGTGGCCTGTTCTGGCTGAAGTGGGGGTGGGGCTTGCAGCCCTGCACGCCTGCTCGCCATCTCTGCCATAGGATGTTAAGGAACCCAGCTGGAACCCACCGGACTACATGATCTCCAGCCTCTAGAGCTCCGCAGCTCTAGGGTCCGTGGGCTGGTCTCCGCAGGGCCCTGCAGGGAGGGGCTCGCAGCTGAGGGGTCAGGGTTAGGGTGCTCCATTCGCCTGTGCTGAGAGGGTGCCATGTACTGGGTGCTGTGCCAGTTGCCTCACCACACAGAGTCGCTGGACCCTCACTACCACAAACATTACAAGGCAGCAATTTCTGTCACCACTTCACGAAGAGGGGATTGCGACTTAGAGAGGTTCAGAAAGTCACACATGGCTACCAGTTACTGGGAGGGGAACCAGATGGAGGGCAGAGGAAGCACAGCTCACTGGCTCGGTGTAGCAGTGCTGAGCCATGCCCGAGACCCACGTGCCAGCCTCCCAGATCGAGGCCTCTCCCTGCAAGGACTGGCCCCACCTCACCTCTTTTGTGGGCGACAATGGATGAGTCTACAGAGCCTGTCCTCCAGAGACAGGATCCTTTTTTCTAATTGTTTAGACTTCCAGATGGGCTCTTGCGATACCTGTCACAAAGCCCTTCCCCCACCCCAGCTGATACAGCTACTACCCCTCTTCAGCTCTTCTTTTAACTAGCTGGGCTGGATCCCCCATTATACAGATGAAGAAACAGAGGCTCATAGAGGAAAAGGGTTTACCCCAAATTAGTAAAAAGCAGGGCAGGATTAGAACCCAGACCCTCTCAGTTCCAATTCCTCTATTTTCATCTGCTGCCTCTGGCAGGACTGTCAGGGGTGCTGGTGGAGAGACAAGATCCAAGAGGGGCTTTTCCCAGACACAAGCCACGTACCATCCCCTGACCTCAGCTTCCGACCCTGTATAATTTTGACCCTGTACAATTATACCGATGGCAGGCACTGCATGTACATTGTTACAGTCAGCCCTCCCTCCCATCTGCCTGGCCCCAAGCCTGTGTGCACGCCCCTGTAGCTCAGTGGTGCTCATGGGAGGGTGAGGAAGAGGGCTGAGCAGTGAAAGCATCCAACTGGACAGTCTGTGGTTACCCCTCCCACCACACAGCACCCACTCGGCCCGGGAGACAGAAGGCATCAAGCCTCACTCCAGCAGGTCTCTTCATCTGGGGTGGCCCTACTCTGTCTCCCCCTCCCCCCACCCATCCCTCCCACTGGCCTTCAGGGAGGGATGGACCAGGGACCTGCCCACCTTCTAAACTGCGGTGGGTGGGGAGGGAGCAGCATGATAGTATTACCAGCCCTCCATGAAACTTTAAAGGGGTAGCTACTTGATCCACACTGGCTCTGCATAGGGGCAGGAAGAAGTGGGGCTCTTCTCCCCTCCCCCTGTATGGGGGCCCCTCCTCTCCCACCCCTTTCTATTATAGAGTCCAATTTGAGGATTAAACCCAGACCAGGTGCATCCTGGGCTTGGTCCCAACTGAGGCAGGATAAAGTGATCCAATGTCTGGAACCAAAAGGAAAATAATTAATTTGCTTCAGGCACCTTTTGTTCTCCTGAGTAAGCTTCTGACCACAGGGGTTCATTACCACTCAGGGCCCCACCTTCCCTGCTAAGCTGACCTGCTCATACCCACCTTCCTGGTGTTTAAACAAACAACACACGTACAATAAAATGCCCTGAGATTACCTTTTGGTTCCCAAAGGTGATTATACAATGTGCCTATTAAATACCAAGTGGCCTCTCATGAGCTCCTGCTTATGTAACTGGGAGCCCAAACACAAGCCAAATGCTACCCCTCCAGAGGGGGCCTCTCACCACCCCTCTCCAGGCCTCAGCCTGGTCCTCTGGACCACAGAGCAGTGATTCTTGTCCTGACCTCCTCACAAAAGTTGACTGACTCTCACTGAAGTGCAATCCAAACTGAGAAAAGCTATGCACGCATGCAAGGTGGTCATCACTGGGCCACTGCAGAAATGGAACCGAGGCAATGGTAGGGCAGCTGATGTGGAAGGAGCAGGCCGTACAATGAGACCTAGCAGATAACTACTGGCGAATACTCTCAGGGCACCTGGACAAGTCCTTGCCCAGCCCCGCACATTCACCTGGAAAGCGCAGACCTGACCAGGGCTCGCTATGCTAGTGCTGGACACGTTCTCTCACACGACCCTGTCACTCCAGGAGGCCAGCAGTCTTATGTCCATTTCAGGCGGTGGAAACTGAGGATGAGAAAAGGAAGGTGGTGGAGCCGGGAACTGAACTTGGGCCTTTGCAACCTCGTAGTGGGTTTGGTTCTGGTGGAAGGTGTACTTCTGTGTGCTGCTGGGAAAAGAAGAGGTGAGTGTCCAGAGTCCTAGGGCCAAGCTCCAGCTGCAACTGACCACTGCGAGGAGGGAGGTGCCAAGCTTTTCAGTATTCAGTGCCTCTGGGGCTTTCCTGAGGTCACGGCAGAGCCCAGAGGCCTGCCTCTCAGGGTGCTCCAGGCTATCGGGAACAGAGAAGGAAGAAATCCTGAGAGGCGTCACAACTTTGGACCCAGAAGTGGGCAAAGGCAGAGGTGTGGACTGGTGGTCTTTGAAAGTCAGGGCCCCTGTTCTGCTCAGAGGAAATGTCCCCTTGGGGGTAGCCTGCAGGAGGGCACCTCATTGTCTCAGAGATGCTGGGCTCTGGCCCTGCTGCTGGAGGCCCTTAGCAATGGGCTCAGGAGCCAAGGGGGAGGCAGAACTTCCCCAGGAGGAGACTGAGGGCAGATAAGAAAAATTCCTGCCAGGGACATAGGTTTAAAAAAAGGCCTTTGCTTATCTGAAGCCAGGAGGGCCCCGAGCAGGAGTGCCATCCCTCACTTCAGCGATGAAGAGAATGTGCAGTGACCTGTCCGCAGATCCACCGTGGGGTGTGGCGGCCCATGCGCAGGCTCCAGCCTCCTGACTCCAGGCCCAGGGCTTCCGGCCACTCAAAATGGCTGTTAACTCTCCTAGGGAGCTCAGGGAGTCAGTCAAAATAATGCCCAGAAGAGTCTGCAACCTCATAGAGGGGGCTGATGCATAATGTTAGGTATCATAAGGATAAATTGCATGTCTAGGAAAACTCTAACTATGCATTAAAAACCAAACCCAAATGCTAATTTTAGAAAGGCCAAAAGAAATGATAGCAACACGTAGAAGTTTCCTTTAGATGGTAGGAATCTGAGTGATTTAAACATGTCTTAATCTCTTCACCCCCAACCCTCCCCCCCTCCATGTCTTCTCTATAGTGATATATCTCACACTGAGTAACAAAGGCTCCTAACAGGACTGCCTCGTAGCCATCTCTGCTTTCTCTGATCTTGGTAGCCACAATCTCTGAGCCTCGGTCTCCTCATCTGTAAAATGGGATATTAATAGCCATCTCACAGGACTGTCATGAAGAGGGAACAAAATGGTAGAATTAAGCACCTAGCGGGGATCCGAGTTCAGGGAAAGGGCATTGTGAGCTGGGGAGTGGGGATCAGCAGGTGGGCCTGACCCCATCTCTCATCCTCCTTCCTTTAGCAAAGGTGTCAAAGCTCTTATCGGTGCCTCCCGGAGTCATTCTTTCCAGGCAGGCCGCACTGCTATTTCTCAGCAGGGCTGCTGGACCTGGGGAGGGATGAGTAATGCAAGTTCCTCTTGACAAAAACCACCAGCATCAGCTCCGTGGAGAGGAAAGGCCTTCACAGACAGCGAGGCCTTGGACACCAACTTGCAATACTGACTGAGAAAGTCACTTTACTTCTCTGGACCAGGTCCGTCAGTTGTGAATCTGAGGTGGTACTGAGGGTCCCACTGGCCTCAGAAAGGCTGGCTGTGAAGCTCTGGCTAAGACGCTAACACTCCTATAGAGAAATGAGGCCCCAGGCGTGGAGGCCACTTCGTGGGAAGACTCCCTTTCACTGTACCTATACCCACACCCACCACAGACACGCTCACTCAATCACAGCACCACGTGGAAACCTGCACAGGACCTCGGAGCGCGCCGCAACATGCTGCTCTCCCCCCACTGATTAGAGTTGGTCCTGGAGATGAAAACTGTCATTCTGGGACCACTTCTGATTTGAAGGAGTTACAACACTGGGACCAGGAGTCCCCTGCTAAACAGGGAAACTTTGGGAAGCGTTTTCATCTCGCTCAGCCCATTTCCTCATCTAAAATGGAGCCAACAATCCCTTCCTCCAGGGACTGCTACGAGGACTGGAGGCCACGGGGCCAGGACACTGACAGATGTGCAGTCAGTGGGTGCTGTGTCTCTCCTAGGCTATGTGGTTAAAGGAGTCCCCAGAAAGGGTACCCATGAACCGCGCCCCCCCACCTCCTTCACCACTGGGGAGGGGGGAGCAAAGGGAGGCAATTGGGCAACTGTGCATGGTGACAAGCAGGTCCTAGAGGACAGTCATGAACCCGTCTTAGTCCCTGCTCTGCATGG